GAGAGAGAGAGAGAGAGAGAGAGAGAGAGAGAGAGAGAGAGAGAGAGAGAGAGAGAGAGGGGGGGCGGTGGTTGGTGTTATGGGATAGTTCACGTGCGTATGATTAGTAATCGTGTGCATACGAGCCTTGCGGTAGGATGCGGAAATCAAAGACTCAGGCGCGGCAGCACATGAGAACCGGGCTTGTTGTAGGGGAGATAGGAAAAGTTAGAGGAGTCAGGGTAAGGGCCGGGTACGGCGAACTCCCGCTCTGCACTCCGCTCCGGCCCGCTCCGGTCCGCTCTCTTTGGCAATGGAGCCGTCGTAAGTTTCGTGTGAAAACCGTAACGAAATTAAATACAAGCAAAGAAATCACATTGAATTGAGAGCGAAGCACCATAATGATAATAAGGCTTGGACCCCACTGGCCGGCGCCTGGAAAAGAGGTGCGGCCACCAAAAGCGGGCAAGTCATTTGGGAAAGTTGGAGAGTACTTTTTCCCGGACCCCACCGCCGAGGACCAATTGCTCTTGGAAAACCATTCGCAAATCAGTTCAGCCAATCGCATTTGTTTTGATCTTTCCTCCGTTTTTTTTTTTTTTTTTTGTGGCACTCTTCATGGCTATTGGCTGCTGCCTCCAATGGGAACACAAACCTTGCAGGTCCCCGATGCCAACGGCTGGCGCTTTGCCCTCCCTACCCTGTTGGAGCCCGTTCTGGAAAACAGCGCCGGCCGTGGGGGGAGACTTTTCCAGCCGCCAGCCATGTAGAAACACACCTGGCAGTGTTTTGGAAATCTGTTGGAGCCCGTTCTGGATAAACAGCGCCGGCCGTGGGGGGAGACTTTTCCAGCCCAGCCATGTAGAAACACACCTGGCAGTGTTTTGGAAATGGCAGTGGGGTCTGAAATCGACGTTTGCAGACCTCCGTAAAACTTCTTGGCGGCCCAGTGGGGTCCGAAATCGCCCTTCCATGCCAAAACTTTTCCAGGCGCCAGGCAGTGGGGTCCAAGCCTTAATTGTGCAACGGAAGGTCTGTGCTTTTTTGCAGCTGCTATCATTAATCAACATTGCAATACAATATATAGCACAGATGTTCCGCCCCGCCCTGCCCAGCGCTTAGCCTCACCTCGTTTTTTTTTCCCCTTTTTGCTTTATCGAAAGGGCGACCTCCGTGACGTATCATTTTGTCGAACAAAAAAAAAGAGAAAGAAAAGAGGCAAAGAAAATCACTGTCGAACTGAATTTCATTAATTCAATTCCAACTGGATTCGAACTTTGGCCCGTATATTTCAAGAGTTCACGTCGGTCCTCGTCTCGTCTTTAGGAAACGCTGGAGGCACAACTGCCCAATTTGGTGATGGGTGATGGTCCTGGGTGGTTAACACTAGGGTAGGACAGGGGGGGTGGGGGTGTGCCAGGGCAAAAAGATGAGAGGAAGGATGGGTGGGGTCTTCAGAGGGGTTTATCTGGACAACCGAGTGGCCGATTACTGTGGGTGACTGTTATCTGTCTAGTATCCCACCTCTACAACAACCTGGGCTTTGGGGGGGGGGGAACTTGAAAAAGGAAACGCTGTAGGCACAAGCCCCTGTTTCATACAAAAAAAAAAAAAGAAGGAGATGGACGCGGGCTGAAATCCAATTCCAATCAAGTCAATGCGTGAGTCCGAAACCATTTTCGTCGTCGTGTCGTACCGGCGGTTGTCATCGATTATGGGCATCGCCTCACCACTCTCGAAATGTACAAAATGAGAATGAACTTCCTGCTAGAACATGGCAGATGCTTCCGGCCACATTTTTGTTTTTTTCACCTTTAGACAGTGGTGTGGCGATGAGGCTAGCGCCTAATGCCATGACGGTGCCACAGACCCCCAATACCGCCACACCACTCTCGAAAAAGAAATCGAGTCCACCTTAGGCCACGACGACGTGACAGACCCCCAATACCGCCACACCACTCTCGAAAAAGAATTCAAATCCACCTTAGGCCACGACGACGCGACGGACGCCCAGTACCGAGCCATCCCGAGTCCTCAAATTCATTTCTTTTTAATTCTAAATTTAATTACAGTAATTTGAGAATTTCTGTATTAGTGCAGGTGGGGAATTGAAAAACCACTAAAAAAAAACCTTAAAAAAAGAAGGTGGATATGCCGGCCTCTAATCATCTTTAGTGCGGGGATAAGGATAGCACGGGATTTATTTTTTTTTTCGTTGGTTGGATGAATTGTTTTTACTTTTTTTCCTGGTTGGATATCGGATTGGATTAGGATTCAATTGAATTGGATTGGATTGGATTGGATTTGTTTGGCGTATCACGATCGACTCTTGTATTGTACGTTGTCGTCAACGACAATGTCCAAGCCGAATGAACGGCCAGGACGAACCATATGACAGTTTCGACTGCCGATAATTTTTATGTCATTTTAATTTATTTACAATGCCGACATTGCCGAGAAAATGGCCTCCTTTTCTTTTTGGGGGTATACTTGACGAGGGCATACGACATGTACTCCGTTGTTGGAGACCCTTTTTATGTTTTTGTTTGTTTTTAACTGGTCGGAACAGAGACTACACTTGATCTTAACGATTCCAGAGAATTTATTTCTTTGTTTAACGATTTTTGGAGATTTTTTTTATGTATATTTTTTAAATCAAACTTCATTCATTCCAATTGCGAACCGAAGTCCCCCAGTGGCTTCGCCTGGCCCTGGCCCCTCGACCCTTATGGAGTAGATAGCCACTGAGCCCGACTGTTGCTTTAGAAGACAGGGTGGACAAGGAGCAGAGACAGACAGGCAGATACCTCAGACAATTGCTCCGTTTGCCCATTCTTTCTTTCCTATGTTTTTTCTCAGTTTTTCTAACTGTTGTTTTCTCAGTCTTCTTCTTTTTACTCAGCATAAGACATTCCCAACGATATGTAAAAAATGGGACGCTGGACCCGGTTACCAGCAGGTGATGCTCCCCACCAATAGATGGAGCCTCCCCGGGAGTGCTAGCGGTGTCTGCTCTTACCAGCACCCCTAACACCCTCTCGGGTTGCTTTAAAAAAAAGAGGTCACTTCACTCGAGGTCGGGGACCTCACAATTCCACCGGGAGTTATCCCGGCAGCATCAGACGCTTTAGCTTCTACCTCCACAACTAGCTGACAGCTAATACCAACTACAGTTCTCCTATCTACCGCTAGTCAACTGTCTACTGTCGTGTACTTCCTGCCCTACCCTACTAACTAATTCACAGACCTACCCATCGGTCTGAACCCGGCCCACGGCGGCTGGGAGGAACAGTTGTTCATTCTCTACCTACCCTGGCACTCTCCCCTCACCTTCCCAATCCTTTGCGGCCTACTTTGGGCGCCAACTGGAACCGAGTGCACCTGGTTCGAAGCTCTATTCCCCCTTACCTCTACCCCCTTCCTACCTCTCTAGCCACTGATATCTTTAGCTTATTACCTTCTATCTGTGTCAGCCCTCCTGGGAGTGCCCATGTTTCGGCGAACCCCGAGGCGGACCGTTCCTTCATTACCTTTCTTCTCCGATCTGCTCTGATCTCTGTTCTAAGCAGATCCTTGAATAGTCTCTCTGCTTGCTTCTCCTCCATTTCTTGTCCCTGAAATCTCCTCCCATTCCAGTCCAACCAAATCACCCACATCATAGCCGCCCTGCAGACCTGTGCAATGTACCCCCATCCCTTGTGTGCTGGGAGGTCTTCAGGGAGTGTGCCTTGTAATACCCACCGTTCATTTTTTTATTTTTATTTTTTGTAACAGTTGCAGATTTCATTATAATCTCTGAAAAGGAGGCCGGGAATCCTTCCACATTACAACCCGGAGAATGAGAACTGGGGCCATAACTCAGTTGGCCAATGCTGGAAACCGGGTCCAGCGTCCCACATCTGCAGACTGATTAACCAAAAGAAAAGGGGGAAACTAGACAATTAAGTAGAAAATAGTAAAAAAGGTGAGGAAATGGCCTAACCTCTGCCTAATTCCTAGTTTCTAGCTAGCTGGAAACCGGGTCCAGCGTCCCATGTTTGCACAAAAAAAAGCTACTGTATGCTGGAAACCGGGTCCAGCGTCCCATTGGGGTACGAGTATCAACTATTACTGTGGAGCTGAGCGAGACCAACTGTGATCTGTTTCCCCAGGTACTCCAGAACCATTTCACTTTCTGTATGTTGCAACCTCTTGCTGTTTTCGTTCTCCAGTCAGCGATGATAGTGTATCTGATCTGGGTCTTTATATGTGAGATGATGTCCGGTAGTTACTTGTGGTGGTCC